TGCAGATCTTGGGATCACAGAGTGGGGAGGGGATGCAGATCTCAGGGTCACAGAGTCCTTTGGGTTGGGAAAGATCTCCAAGACTGAGTGACTGACCCCCACCTTGTCCCCCCGCCCAGAGCACTGAGGGGGGACTCCACCACCTCCCTGGGCAGCCCCTTCCAGTGCCTGACCACCCTTTCCAGGAGGAAACTCCTCCTGATGTCCAAGCTGCCCCTCCCCTGGCACAGCCCGAGGGCACAGTGAGCCTTACGAGGGAAGCCCGTCGGGACATCCTGCTCAGGGGCTTGGGGAACTCCGGGCTCTCCATCTGCAGCTTCTGCAGGAACTCGGGGGGCAGGCGGATGTCCATGGGCAGGGAGAGGCGTTTGCTGACGTCCTGCAGAGAGGGACAGAGGGGATGGGTGATGAAGGGAGAGCTGCTGTGGATGGTGAAGTGATGGGGCAGCATCTGTGGGACCGTCGGCGAGAGGAAAAGGGAAGAGGGGGGTGATGTGCTCATGGGGATGTGCCCTGGGCTCGGTCAGGTACCATGGGGGTGATGCTGAGGGCACCCAAGGGCTCGTGTCTGACACTGCCAGGTCCCCACAAACCCAACACCGGCTCTTCCAGCCAGCAGGGAGGTGACAGCCGGAGGTTCCCACGTCCCCCCTGCCCCCTCCCCAGCCCGCAGCAGCACTTGCCTCCATGGAGAAGCGGCGCTGGTTGTTGCTGCGGTACCTGACGGCCACCGGGGACTGCCCTTCCACCTCCGACGGCGAGAGGGGGCTGCTGTCGGCCCGGAATTCCCTGCCCAGCTGTCCCAGCTGCAGGTGCCCTTGGGCCAGGTCTGAGGACAAAAAGACGGGAGAATGAGCTGCTGGAGTGGTGGCTGAAGTGCCAAAGAATTTACTTTGGAGAAAAGGGAGTGCGAGCAGGGCAGGGACGTGCAGAGATGCTCTGGGGCCACAGGAATATCTTCCTTCTCTATGTGTGGGAGGCCAAGGGAATTCCTGCTTTTTGCTCCAGACTCCTGATGCCTCAGCACCCACAGGGCTCTGCTCTCCAGCACCCCCAAAGCACCCTGTGCATCCCCTCTGCCTTGACAGACAGGGAGGGGGATGCAGAGGGGGGAACTTCTTCACACCCCAGGCCACCCAGAGCTCCCACATCCCATTCCAGTGTTCAGCCTTCCTGCAGCAGCACCATGAGGTTGTGCAGGGGTGAGTATTCACCTTGACTTCCCAGCTTTATCCTCCCAAATGCCACATTAGGCAAAACACCACCTGCACTTTAGGAAGACCGAGGTGCCTGTCCGTGGCTCTGGATCCCTCTGGGCTGGGTCAATACAGGAGCAAAACAGAAAGAGAGCCCTGAACCCAAGGAGTTCACACACACACACACACACATCCCATCTGCCCTGGGAACCACCAAATCCAAAGGCATCAGGGCACTTTCCTCCAAGGATGTGACCGTTTCTTGGAAGGTGTTTGGGATTAAAGGCTGCAGTCACTTATTGCAAAACAAACCACTCCAGGCCCTTCCTGCCCCAACCTGCTGCCCTGAGCCAGGCACAGCCCCAAGGAGCACAAGAGCTCTCTTGAAAACCAAAGCAGCTCAGGAAAAACAACTCTTCTCTCAGGGCTCCAGGTGTGAAGCCTCAGAGTGTGAGACCAAGAAACCCCGAAAGGAGCGAGAAAATCAGAACAAAAAAAGCCATTGAGCTCCTTCTGGCCCCCAGTTTGAGGTTTTCACTCAACCCTCCTCATTCTGTAATGAACAGCTGGTTGGTGGGAACACTCTGGCACTCACAGAGGCAGAGCCAAACCCTGCTGGGTTCAACACAGGTCACCTGGACCCCAGTGAGGTGGATTCCTCTGATCCACACGGATGCTGTTTCCAAGGGGCTGTTCAGGAGGAGGCAGCACCAACCTGGGTGTGCTGGGATGGAGGAGAACCACCTCCCCCCCCCAAGGGAGGGACGCATTTCCCACTGAAAAGGTGTGGGGCCAAGCAGGGAGGACCATCCCACGCCCTTCCCGGTGGCCACACAGCTCTCTCCCTTCTCCTAATTCTGCAGCCACGCTCCAAATTACACCCGGAGGGTCCAAGGATGCCCCTCTCTGCATTCAGACACCCAGCAGGAGAGAAACTCCGCAGGGAGGAGGAGCTGCTGCCCCGGGCTGGCCCCTGCCCATGGCCCAGCCCTCTCCCCGGGGCTGCAGGGAGACAATCCCTGCTCTGCCCGAGCGCCAGCGATGATCTCATGGCTGAGGGCTGGGCAGGCAGGGCTGCTTTTCACGGGGCGCTGAGCAGGGCTGGGACCTGGCTGCAGTTTGCTGGTCTGATGGATGAGAGGTGGCAGGCAAGTGACCTGGGAAAAGATGTGTTTTTGTGCCATGGTCACCGGGGAAGCAGGGAACCTGAGGGGTGTCCTGGGTAGGCAGCCCACACCTAAGAGGTGGGGTCAGCCCGTGCCACTGGGCTGGAGAGGGTCTGAAACAGCGCCAGGAGGTTTTGGTCCCTTCCCCTTCCGTCCATCTGCTTGTACAGGAACGATTGGGGAACATCCTGAATTAACCACAGGTATGAAAGGAACCAATGAAATGGATCAATGAAACTGGATCGAATTTTTTTCACTTGCTCATTTCCTAAGCAAATTATCTGCCAGGAGAAAAAAACCAACAAACCAAAACCAAACCAAACAAACAAACAAAAAAAACCCCAAATCAAACCAAACAAACAAAAAAAAAAGAACAAAAAAACAACCAACCCCAAAAGCCATTTAAAATCAGGCTGAATGGGCTCCAACTAATCCACCTTAAACGATGGTCTGGGTGAATTTGTGCTGGTTCCCATAGGTTAAAAAAAAGCCCCAAAGCTTGGGAAAAGGTGCAGCCTGTCCTGGAAGGTGCAAAGCAGCAGCACTGTCTCTTTGAACCAGCAGATCAGTGTCGATCTCCTCATCTATATGAACATTAGAGGTGAAGTCAGAGGTAAATCGACAACCTGGATATTCCAGTGCATCCAAAGGGGATGGGAAAAGCAGGTAAAACACACAGGAGACTTGCAGGGATGAGAGGAAAGGTGTCTGGGGGAGTGGGGAGGGGGATGTGCCAGCTCAGCACCCCCTGGGCTGTCCCAAGGTGCACCCAGGGATTCCCAATCCCACGGGGATGCTCCCCCAGGGCTGGAGTTGCCCCTGGGCTTGGAGGACCCTCCTGGGCGCTCACAGAGGGGGGAGATGTGAAGCTGTGGGTGTGCAAAGTGAGGGCCTGCTGGATTCTGGCTCAGCATTTCCCGTGGCTCAGGGGGGGCCCTGACACCCTGCAAACAAGGAGGCTGCCTGGGATATCAAAGCAAATTAAAGTGAGCCCGCAGACACGGCAGCTGCCTCTGACGAGCCTCCCGCCCTCCCAGAAATACATTTAAACACAACCCCTGCCAAAACAAGCTTTGATCTCCCAAGGAAAGGGGCCAGAACCCTCCGCTGCTTGCCTGACTTCTAATTACTTTGCTAAGTGTGAACTCTCTCCTCTCAAGGCTCTGTTGCTCTCAGAGCTTGGATTATTCATCCTCCTCCCTCCCACTCGTGGTCATCTCTTTGTGGCTTTGAGCTCCCAAGGTCAGATCTGGCTCTGTTTTATGCTGCTGTAAATTGGGAATTACCTTTGCAGCCCCATCTGGGCCTGGGAGCACAGAGCAGCTGGTTTGGGGCAGAGCCTGGGCACAGGTAAGAGCTGTTGCTGGATGCCACCAACTTCTTATCAAAGCAGATGGGAGACACCAAGACCTGATATCTCTGAAAAAAATGGAGCCTGCATTGTCAGGCTCCACCAAGGTGACATTGCCTGTGGCAGGAAAAGCTGTTTGCTTTTCCAGCCTGGAAAAAGAAAAAAAAAAGCCTGTTTTTTCCCCTCGTTTTATCAGCCCCTGTGAGTGAGATCATGAGAACTCCTGGATGGAGAGGACAGAGCTGGGGATTTCTCACCACACACCCAACAGAGGGAGGTTTGTCCCCAGGAGAAGGTCCTGCCTTGTCCTGTTCCATGAGCCAGGGCAGCTCCTGCAGATGCTCTTGAGCAGCCTGGTCTGGTGGAAGGTGTCCCTGCCCGTGGCAGGGGGTTGGAATGAGACGAGCTTTAAGGTCCCTTCCAACCCAAACCAGCCTGGGATTCTATGATTCTTGGAGCACCTCGTGAGGAGGTCTGGCCTCTGCATCACCCTCCTCCCCGAGGGTGGGCACAGACATTCCCAGCCAGCACAGACTGCCACGATGCTGCTGCCCCCTGATTTCTGATGCTGGAGGGAACATAAAACCTGCAAGCAACTCCCTTGAGGAGCTACACGAGGTGAGGAAAGGGAAAACCGATGGTGTTGATCTGAGCTGTGATTAGCACTTGTCTCTGGAGCCAGTGATCACAGAGCCTGAGCTGTCACTGTTGTCACCAGGACAGACAGGATCCCTGCAGGCGGGTCTGGAGCCCGGGGGAGGGCAGAGACAGCCCAGGGGCAGCCCCAGAGATCCTAACAGGGAAGGTGAAAGTCCAGTGGAGCTGTTCCATGGGGAAGAGAAGCAGCACAGGAGCTGCTGCCACGGCTGCAGGCTCAGCTCTGCTCCCCACACCTGGAGCAAAGTTATTTTCCCTCGCTGCATTTTGATTCTCCGCCTGCAAAACCGACCAAGACCTCAGAGAGAACTAAACTCAGAGCCCTCTCCAGGCCAGGCAGCTCCCATGGGGCCCAAACCTGACCACAAACCCTGGTGCAAAACCCCCTTCTCTGTCTGTCCCCCTCCAGCTTCCCCCTGAGGAGCCTCCTGGCACAGGGATGTGGGTGAGGAGTTCCCAGCCAGGAGGGTTCATTGTCAGCCAAGAGATGCCTCAGACAAATGTGGCTGTCAGGGCCCTCCATAAACAACCAGGAGAGGGGATTAAGGGCACCCTGGAGGTGACTCCTGAGGGTCGTTCACAATCCCCACAGGAAACTCGGTCATGGGATCTCATGGGAGGGAGCGGGTTTGGGGTGGTGGGCACAGCCTGGGCTCTGTGGGAGAGGGATGGGGTCCAAACTGGGAACTGGGCAACCAGGGAATGGGGGGCACCAAGGAGGGAAAGCTGGGGAGAGGGCCAGGATGTGCCACATCCTGGTGGGAGGATCAGTGGGAGCTGGACCTGGGACAGCTCGAGGCTGCACAGGAGGAGCTGCACCCCCAGAGTGGTGCTGGCAGATCCTGAGCCCCTGATGCATTCCCAGGTCCTAATACACCTCCTCATGGACTGGTTCTGGTCCAGGCAGGAGGATCTCCTACACCACATCCCAGTCTAGTACTGGTCCAGCCTCTAACCGTGGGCTGGGAACACCCTCAGTCCTGGCCCCAGGGTCTGCTCAGACTTTCCCCTTTCTCTCTCCTGGCTACCTCAGGAGCAAGCCCAAAAGCCCAGGGAGGGACTGGCACATGCTGCTTGCACTGGTTTGCCATCCAGGGGCAAAGGAAGACCCATGACTGACTCTTCATCTGAGCAGGATAATGGGGGAATCCCCTCTCTGGTTTGCAGGGCACAGACAGGGAGCCCATCCCAGAGCACAGCTCTCCCAAGGAGGGCAACAGCAGGAGCAGCTCTCAGCACCCAGGACTTCCTCAGCCTTGCCCCATTTTATCCCCACAGCTTCTGCACATCTAATTAAGGGCTCAAGTCTAATTATAGCCCTGGCTGCTGGCTGGGGTGTGAGGGGAGGTGTGTGGGAGCAGGGCAGGAGGCTGGGAGGGAGGGACACTGCTCAGGGCAGCCTGGCTGTGTGGAGAGAGATAAAGGAGCCTCAGGGGCTGCGGGAGCCAGCTCTAAATTAGGTTACTGCATCTCTCCTTGGGAGCAGGTTGGCTGGCACGGGGACGGTCCCTCCCCGCCGGTGCCAGGCAATGACATCATTCCATGGTGGCCCAGCCCCTGCTGGAGCCGAGTGGAGCGTGGAGGGGCTGGGAGGCACCAGTGGCACGAGGGGGTGGCCGGGAGTGGCTCAGCCTCTCACCCCCGGCAGCCAATTGAGCCCTGGATGGGCCGAGCCCGACTCCAGCCGGTGCCCAAAGGCTCTGCCTGCCCGTGCACGGCCACGGGGCTGAGCTGCTCCCACGCTGTGCCTGCAGCCTTGCCCCTCCCTGGCTCTGCCCCCCCAGGCCCCAGAGCCTGCCCCAGCCTGCACCGAGGGCTGCTCTGTTTGCACAAGGGATGTGCCCGTTCGGGCTCGGGGAGCTGTTAACCCTAAACCTCCCTGGGGCCCTCCAGGATGAGATGTGATGCCCAGAAGAGAGAGAACAGCCCCCTTGGCTCGGGGGAAGCGTCAGCCTGGAGCCCTGGAGGGGGCTCACAGCCCAATTTTGCCCCCCAGAGTCCCAGCACGGGGAGGTGCTTTGGGCAGGCAGGAGGAGATCCCACGCTTTCCCACTCTCAACCCTGACCACAGATGTGTCATTCCTCCCCGTTTTGTGCAAATACCTTTCCCTCCCATAAGTCTTTCCTTATGCAAGTATAAATCCCTCTTCACATTGAATGACAAGGTGTTATTAATCCCGGGGGATGGATGAGGAAAGCAACCCCGACAAAGGGGCAGAAACTTTCCACACACGCCCATCGAACAGCCTGGGGGGCTGGAGAGGAGATCCCTGCTGGCAGCACTGACCCCAGATGCTCCTGACCAGCCCCAGCAGCACATCAGGGGCCTGGGGGCTCCTTACCTTCATTCCTCTGGTTGTTGAGCTGGTTGAACTGCTCCGTGAACTCCGTCAGCGACTCCTCGATGGTCTCCGTCCGCGGGACCGAGAGCGAAAACCTCCTCTTGAAGTTTTTCATCTTGTTCATTTTTCCCCCGTGCTGCCAGAGCCCTGCAGGGGAAGGGAGAGCAGGCTGAGAGGGCTGCACAACACACAGGATTCCACCCTCCCCTCCAGCCCCACAGCTCCTGCTCTCTGAGGCTCTGGGAGCATCCCAACCCAAATTTCCCCCCATGTGGGGACCTCTGGGGGTCCCCTGGGACATCCCCATCCCTGAGGCACCACTGCTGGGTCAGAGCTGATGAGGAGCCACGTGGCCACCAGGGAAATTTGGGTTCCTCGTTTTTTAAGAGCTGGAGGTTGTCAAGAGGCACAGGGGGGGCTTCTCTTCTGAGCCCAGGACAGGGTTGTGCACACTCTGTCCCAACTACCGACACAGGCCGTGCCTTGTGGCATCCCTGGAAACTCCGGGAATGCCTGGATGGGGGAAGAGCAGGGGAGACATACAAGGAAGGCAAGAAAGAGTAAATAGTGACGGAAAAGACTCAATCCCACCCTCCTCCCCGTGCAGGGAGGCCCCTCTCCCCTGGCAGTTCGGGCTCTGCTTTGCCCTTGCACGAAAGACTTCCTGAGCCAGCAGCAAAAAGCTGAGTGGAGCCAGGATGGGCTGGGGGGGATCCCCCAGAGTCACAGCACGGGGAGATGCTTTGACCTCTCGGCTCCCTCGTGAGCCCCAGTGACTCATCCTGATGGGCATTAGAGTCGCCTTAAGCCGGAGATCTGATTAAAGCAATAAAACCCTTAAAGGAAGAAAACCCTCCCGGGGCACATGGCAAAGTGTGCTGGGGCTGAGCAGCCACGGGAGCTCGCTCTGGGCACTGCTTTGCCTTTCCTTTCCTGCTTTGGCTCTTCCCAGGCTCAGCAGCACGGATGGGATCAGGCTGGAAGAGGTGTCTGGGCAGGGTTTGGGCTCTAGCACCAGCCCTGCTGTCCTGGCAGCTCCCTGCTGGCATGGAATCATGGAATGGTTTGGGTTGGAAGGGACCTTAAAGCTCATCTTATTCCACCCCCTGCCATGGGCAGGGACACCTTCCACTAGCCCAGGTTGCTCCAAGCCCCATCCAACCTGACCTTGGACACTTCCAGGGATGGGACATCAGTGTCTTACCCTCAAGCAGCCACAGCTCTGCCCCTCTCCCCAGTCCCATGAGTGTAGGGATGCTCCTCCACCATCCCTTATCCTCTTGACCCTCTCACCTTCCTGCCAGGGGATTTTACATTAACAGCTCTGACTTCCTTAATGCTGCTCTGACCCACCAACCCAAGGGAGGATCTGAAGGGGTAAAATCAACCCTTGGTACCAAACAGGCACCAAAACTATCCAGAGAGGTTCTTTCCCACTCCGAGGAGCTCATTCCTGCACCAACACACACATCCCGCGCCTTCCCCCGCACCCCTGGAGCAGGTCGGCCCCCTTCTCCTGGGTGTCCCTGCTCTTCCCTGGCTGTCCCCACTCCCCCCCAGCCCCCTCCGAGGCTTATCAGCACAAACAAACGGTGATCGCATTCCAGGCTGATGCGATCAGACACAGCATCCGGGAGCCGGCGCATCCCGGTCGCCAGGACAACGGGAACACTCGGGCTGACATGCCTGCATCTGAAAGCTTAAAAGATTACCCGTCAGCAATATAAACACTCCGTTTGGGTGCCTGCCAGGCTCTGCGGTGAGGCACGGCACCCTGCAGTGGGTGAATCCCCTGAAAATCCCTGGGATTCACCCGGATCCTGGGCACTCACATGCCTCAGCCACCCCCACTCATCTCCCACCCCCAACGCTGCAAACACCTTAAAAGCAAAGGGTCAGTCCTGCCTGGAATCGGGGCTGGGGTGTTTGCTGGGGGTGGGAAGGGAGGCTGGAGGCTGCTTGGAGCTGGGAAGTGAGGCAGGAGGATGACAGACACATCCACTTCAGCCCGCAGACACTGAAATGTTTCCTCAGCACGACAGAAACGTGCTTTGACAATAAAGATGTGGCACCGGTGATGCTGCATTAACAAAGTCTCCGTGCTGGCGCCTTCCTCGTGGTCCAAATAACGCCTCCAAGCAGCGCTGTTGCTTTGGGAGGGAAGGCAGAGCTTGACACTTGCTTTGGAGACCTTTTTCTCAGCCCACGGTTTCCAATCTGACTCCTCACCTTGCAAACTGAGTGAGTTCGAACCAGGGCACTGCTGGCGTGTGGAAACGCTGCCAGCGTTGCAGGTATTTAAGGAACTAAACCCACCTGGAAAACCAGGGTCAGGTTTTGCTCCTGACAAAGAAAAAGCTACAGAGGCTCCTGTGCTCATGTTTTCACGTCGGCTCCAGGCTGGCAAAAAACTCTGCTCCACAAATCCCAATCCTTCCCCCCCTCCGTTTGCCTCCTCCAGGAATGCCAGCAGCTCCAGGCTGCTAAATATAAACCTCCTCGGAGAGGAACCGGGGTGGGGGTAAAAATAGCACCGGGATGGTTCCCTGCCTCTGCTGCCATTCCCCAGCTGCCCCCTGCCTGTTCCACGCTCCTCATCCTCACGGCTCCGGGCAGCTGGGGCTGTTCCTTCCAGCTACACCTGGACCTGCTTGGCATCTGTTGCTGGAGTTCCCATTCAAGTGTTTGTCAGCTGGAATTTATGGGGCTGTTCCTGCCCTCACCCCTCCCCAGAGGAATTCGCCCCGGCCCCAGTGGCTTAAGGTTCCCCCTAAAACTGGGATTTGCCCCTAAAACTGGGATTTGCTCCGTTCCTGGAAGGAAAGCATCCACAGTGTACACGCCAGAAAGCTGCAGGAGTAACGTAGGGTCAGACTGGGGCAGGAAATGTTGGGTCCCACACCCCAGCACCCAGGGGTATGAGGGGCTTCATCCCCTCTCCATCTGAATTCCTTCCGGGAGAAGGAATCCCCTTTCCAGCTGAAAGGAGCAGCCCAGCACGGATTTCAAAGGAAGAATTCCTCTTGTTTTTCGTTGGTTTTTTTTCCCACCACGTTTAGTGTCCTAAAGGAAGCAGAGGCATTTATTGACTTTGGGGGAGAGAAAGTGGCACTCGCTGAGCAAAGCGATGCCATCCCTTTGTTTTCCAGCCCGACAGGAACCACGGCAACCCCCGCGCTGGAGGCGCCGGGGATGGAGGGAGCTGATGGTTCCCAACGTGCACAAACATGACGCTGCACGGCAGGACACGAGGGGAAGGAGCAGTTTAAAACCCGGCAATCGGGGAGTTTAGGCATCAACAGGCGGAAAATGAAATCACCCGGCTTGGAACGTGGCCAAGGAACTGGGGATTAAAGCCAGCAGGGTGAGTGATCTGCATTTACTGTAATACAGTCGGGTAGTAAATACTTGGCTAAAACACTTCAAAGAGCCCAAAGCCGAATCCCATCAGGAAAGCTCCTCGCGGGATCAAGACAAGAAGTTAACGATCCTTTAAACGCTGCATTCAGGGCAGTGACCACACTCAGTGAATTGTTCCCACAGGCTGGGACTGTCCACGTGGATCGCCCTTGCATTAGTACACCCAAAACCTGCCGGTTCCCTGCCCTGCAGTTCATGGGACAGGTATTTTAGGCATCACCAGTGAGAGAAACTGTTCCCTGTCTCCTCCAGCACCTGGCAGGGCTTTGGAAGCAGAGCTGTGGAGCACTAACTGCTTTATTGCTTTTCAAAATGCTAAGTGCCTCCATTTTTTCCTTACCATTTTAACAGCCTCACGCCCCCATTTCCCAGAGGAAAGAGTGGAAAGCTTGGAGGCAAGAGTTTGCTTCTTTTAAGCCTTTTTTTTCGTTGTTTTTTTAATTTTTAATCCCCACAGAGATTAACGGTTGTGTTTACAAGGCAAAACGAACGGTCCCGTTCAGCAGCTACAGCTCCTGCTTCCAGCTGTTGGGTGGCACTGATTCACTCCTGCAAGGATGAGAGAAATGGGGAATTGTGCTCGTGGAGCCCTGTTTGCTCAGCAAACAACAGCTCTCACGGAACGCTGCGTGTGGCTACGGGGCTAAACAAACCAACCAACCAACCCGGGCATCAAATACCCGCCCCTCCTCACAGGGCAAAGCACCGGGACAAAGCCAGACCCAACCAAAGCTCCCCAGCACAGCCCCCCCCCCCGTGCCGGGCAGCCCTTTCCAGGTCCGTTTTGCCCGGCTGAGGTTCTCCCTCCCAAGCTCCAGCACGGAGGAGGAGCAGGGAAAAGCTGCAGGAGCCGCCAAGGAGTCTGAGAGCAGGAGATGGGAGAGATTTCGGCCCCTCCGCGGTGCACATTCCTGTGCAAACAGGAGCTCAGCACGACCCAAATTCCTCCTCCACTCCGAATTTCCTCTGCAGGGCCGTGTTCGGGTCCTCAGAGGTGCGTGGAAGGGAATGGGGAGTGACTTGAGGCTGTTCTGGGGGGTCAGAGGGAAACGACTCGAGCACAGACCAGGGACGATGCTGAATTTTCTGTGGCAGCTGAGAATCCTCCCAGGGCGAGGAGGGAAAACAGGGAAGGACATCAGCCCCTGACCACCAAATGAACATCTCCTTGGCCATTCAGCTGTTGGCCTGAAGCCCTCCCTGGGGTGCCAAGCTCCCTCCCTGGGGTGCCAAGCTCCCTCCCCAGCACAGACAAAGCACAGCCCGAGTGGGTCAGTCCTGCAGTGGGGACCAGCAGAGCTGGGGTCACATCCTGCCCGGTGCTGGGATGGGCCGTGGTCCCTGCCCAGCAGGCAGAGCGGTTTGCAGGAATTGCTCTCCCCAAAAAGGTGAGTGATGAGGGGAGAGAGCAAGGCCAGAGCTCTCCTCCCTGATCATTTGCCTCCCGCAGCTCAGCCCTGCCTGACATCTCCCCCCTGCCAGGAGGTCAAGATCCTGCAGGGAAAGGAGCACCATCAATTCCTATTAATCTACAGGAGCCCTGTAGCAAACAGCAAGACCATCATTCCACTGCCCTGGGCATGATTGAAAAGGGAGCTTGGCATCCCCAGGGAGCCAGTCCATCCTCACTCTGCCATTCCTTTCCCTCCTGTGTTACTGCCTTCCATGATCACAAGGGATGCAGCGCACCAGGAATGTGACTGTGGCAGCCAGGACATCACTGTCCT